GACCTACACTTTGTCTGTCGAGTGGTGACTGGCACGATAATGATAACTAGAATACGCAATTACAATGTAGCTCTCGCTATCGCCACGACACATTTTTGTATTTCAAGCGTCAAGTTTGTTCATGTCCTTGCTAGCGAAGCAAGCAGTTGCGTGCAGAACTACTACTACTCGTAAGCAAAAATATATGAAGAATATACAGCATCCTCAGGCAACTCAATGAACAACGTTGAGAACTTTGCATCTTAACAACATTGGACTCAAATTAGATGCGAAACGTTTGCGAAAAATGTGGTTGTCATCTTCCTTCCGAAGCAAAATGCAGTATAGACTAGCAATCATTGGTTCAGCACGGTAGAAGTTGCAGCAGCATATTGGAGCTACCCTCCAACACGGCTTACGCAAACCTTGTTGACCCTTTACTTGTCAAGACGAACAATGGACAGGTAAGAGACGCTGTGCAGGTTGCCCTCACACGTCGTTGTCAATTCATCGTTCGTCTGAAATGTTGTTGCATTCATTAACCGGTCCATGGTCAAGCGCCTCATAAGCAAGTGTCGAAAACCTTTGCACCAGGCCAACCTGAAACCGAGCTTATACCAATTCATTGAACTTTATTTGTGACATACCCAGCTTATATCTAAAGCAAAATGAAGACTTGCAGCCATTGGTTCAGCACGGTAGAAGTTGCAGCAGCATATTGGAGCTACCCTCCAAACACGGCTTACGCAAACCTTGTTGACCCTTTACTTGTCAAGACGAACAATGGACAGGTAAGAGACGCTGTGCAGGTTGCCCGCACACGCCGTTGTCAATTCATCGTTCGTCTGCAGGTGCTCAATCGTGTACAGCGTAGCGGAGCAGCCGCAGCCTTGCGAATATCCCGTATTTGCTGCCTGCATTGAAGCAGCATTCTTCAGTAGCTCGACCTTGTGGTTTTGCCTAATCATTAGGTACAGCATTTACTACAACAGCAATACTGTAAACACCCCCTCGAAGCATTTTGATCTTGCCATCCAAGCCCGTCGAAATCAGCAAATCCGATTCGATCGCATCCCACAAGATCGAGCTTCCACTCATCTTGGATGCTGTCAGTTTAACATAAAAGGGGTGCTCCACAATCTTGTACTTCACCACGAAGCTTCTCCAGTTCTTCTTGCTGGTCACGCAACTTCGACTCCAAAATGTCAAGTCGTTCAACAGAAACGGGATCGAGATCAAACGTGTACGTGACCAGACGCGTCGCACGTAGAACACGAACTGCAACGCCCAATTCCAGCCGGACACCTCCACCTTGTATCGGGAACAGCTTTCGATGCACATCGTTGGAATCGTCCAGCTTGCAGTCCAACATGTCTTGGAAGCACTATACAGCAAACGTGAGGAACATTTACCCTTCCATTAATGAACCATCCATTTGTTTCTTACCTTGACGTAATCTCTCTCCGATGCATCTGCAATGGCGTTTGCCGATGACACATAATCTGTTTTGACCATGCCGCCCTTAAACCTGCACAACAATAACATCGTATAAGCACGTTATTTAGAGTCATGCTACCCCACGTTCTTGAAACCATACCATTGTTTCTTCGATGTTCGATCTTCGATCCAAATGCTCATTTTTGAGCTTTTCAACTCGATGACATAGCGGTAATTCTTTGCAGGTGGCTCAACGAATGCAGTAACACCTTCCACAACGATATCTTGTAACGACTCCATGTTAAAGTTGCTATCCACAAAATCACAAAGTGCTCGTCATCAGTTCACTTATAGATGTTGCTGCGAAATGTGAGCTCAAACTGTCAGGTAATATCTCAGCATTTTTCCCTTCATAACGTGATCGAATGGTTTAATGCCCCGACATTGTAGGCAAGCGGACAACACTCAAGTAGGCATATTTTTACGAACTACGCAAGTAAACCATAGAGTCTCACTGGTTTTAGATTTTACACTGGTAGGACTGGAAGTTTTGCTCGGGAGAAGGTAGAATAGAAAATGACTTCGTTTCAACCCTATTTCAAACACTACATCCACTTACGCTCACGCTTGCCCCTGCTTTCTTCTTTTTATGCCCCTCTGCTTGCATTCTCTTGTTTCATAGTCTGACATTTTCTTAATGATAGCCCTAGCTACTCATAACAGTTCGGTGTCATCTTCAGCTTATTTTTTGCACCCAATTCGCGCTATCTTTCGTCGTCTACGTGAGCTATCATTTCAAAGCGGTATTTAGTGAATTTTCAAACTTTTTTGGGGAAAAAGAGCTTTAAAATACCTACTTAGCTTTTTAATGAAACATAGTAGCAAATGTCGATACATCCATGGACTACTTGTGGAGCTTTGGGGTCTTGACTTAGCTCTCTTTTAGCCCGTATATCTTACCTAGCTCATCCCGCCAAAAAAAGCTTGAACCAAATCGAGTCTTGCGATGATTCGGTGAGCGCAATGAGCCTTATATTTTTTGATGATAAATCTACCGCGTGTTGTTGACTTCTAGCGATACGGAAAAGCGGCGCTGTAGAATGCCCTTGCAATTTGACTGCATTCAGTAGCTGTTATTGCCACTGCCATTACCAACGAAATCGGTCACTGCAAAGAAAAAGACCGCACTCATTCCTTGTGATCGATTTGCGTATATGATGTTCTATAAACACATACTCATATGCGAGATTAAATGGTTTGCACAAGTCATTCAGCACATGGCACGCGTGTGTGCAGAGTTATCGGTAAACACGAATGGTAATGTTAATCGTTGCTTCAACAATAGACAACGTCTGGACATTAAACCATCGATCATATTTTGAGAGAAAAAGGTAAGATACCAGTCATA